TTCCTCCCTCTAAATAATAATTTTAAATGCTGACCAAAACAAGTGGTAACAATACTTTTTTGCATAGCCTTGACTGTTGAAGAATAGTCTTGTTCTTAGAAATAAAATCCCTGGTAGAAGGCTTCATGGAGAAATGTTTGATTGTAGGGCTAGGGTAGGGGAATTACAAGATGAGCCTAGAGTATCTTATGTTGTCAGAAAGTAAATGCTTATTTTAAAAAAATAAACAAGACGGTGGAGCTACAGACACTATTGTAGAGGGATTTGGAACATCTGGCATAAATAATTATTAACAAGGAGGGAAATCAGATATATGCGCTGAAAAAATCTGACCCTATGGGACAGCAGATCAGTTCAGCCTATCCCGTTTGGTTCTCCCCACATGACAAAAGTCATGACACCAAATCACCACGAAGAAATGCTTTAAGTTGCTCATGACCCACAAGTTACAACCTGTCCTCTGAAGGTCCCTTGTATCTTACGTCTCTTCTTCCACCTGCTATCCCTCAGACACTTGCCTTAACCAAGCTCTGCAGTCTGTGGGTTTTGAGGCCCTGTTTGCCACCGTTGCTCTTTGAAATACAGTCTGTCTTTGCTCATGCTTGTATGAGAGAATCCTTTAAAGGGACCGAGTTTGGATCTTTATATTGTGAATCATTGTCCGGTTGTTAAAAATGAAGTGAATTGAAAGAGGGGAAAAAAAAAAGTGAAAATAAGTCAGAAGGACACAGGAACCAACCTGAAGGGGCTTCCAATGGCTAAAACTAGAACGATTTGAACAGTAAAATATATGATACTGTTTTATTATAAGCCAGTATAGCTGCTGTCAAGTTGGATCCAACTCATAGCAACCCCTCCTTGGGTTTCTGAGGCAGTATCATTACGGAAGTAGATTGCCCCATCTTCCTTCCAAATAAATATCCATGAGTTGAAGCTGATATAAGTAAGCAAGTAAATAAATGAGGAGAAGGGACAAATGTTCCTTACAGAAAAATTCTAGATAACAAATATAGAGAAATGGAAGAAATAGAAAATTCCATTATAACACCACTGTTATAAATGCTGCAGGCAAGATTCACAGACGAATGCTAAAATTAATGAGTGAAACCAGGATATTCATATAGCCTTAAAGCATCTCTCCCAAGAAATGTATTAATTTGTTTTGGTGGTTTTAATAAATGTCCACAAATTTGTTCATGCTATTCCTTCCAGTAAGTGGAGCTTAATTCCCCTCTTCTGAGTGAGGCTGCATGTAGTGACTCTCAAGTAACCAACAGAGTGTGGAAAGGAAAAAAATAAAAAGGAACTTTACAGTGGAGACACCTTCATTAACCAGGCAGTCAGGAGTAACATCACCAGAATGTAGTTATGTTGACACCATGTACCTTCAGATGTGATACAGTGAGAAACGTACTTTAGCTGTCTGACATCTTTCCCCAAATCCATGACCTCAGTCTAATCATGAGAAGTCAAGGAACATTCTACATGTATCTAACCAGTACTCTTTAAAAATGTCAAGGAAATACTGGAGAAATTGCCACAGATCAAAGAGACAAATGATGACTTGACGCAGTGTTACTGTCCGGGTTGGATCCTGGAACAGATAAAGATATTAGTGGAAAACCTGGTGAAGTTTGAATAAAGCCTGTACTTCGGTGATAGTGTTGGACTAATTATTAATGCATTAGGTGATAAACGTGTCATGATATGTAAGAAACTAACATTAGTGAAAGCTGGGGAAAAGGTCTACAGGAGCTCTGTGCTATCTTCACAGCTCTTCTGTAAACTTAAGATTATTTTAAGATTAAAAGTTTTTTTAAAAAAAAAAAACTGTAGTGGCTTTCTCAGTCTAAGGATACTCATTACATTAGAATGCCATCTGAGCTAACAAATTAATTCAAAGAAATCCCCCTCCCCAAAGCCTTTGTGTGGTCTCTCTGTAACAGAAAGATGAGCTCTTTCTTGTCTACTGTATTCTCATGGAATGGAGACAGTAAATTTTAGAAGCTTCTACTCACCACTAGAAGCAAAAATGCCTCTTTGCCTGCTTTGTGCTGGTCAATTCAGTCAAGACTGATTGTGTGCCTTTTGTAACTTAAAGTATTCTGTTAAAAAAAAGTGGTGGTGTGGAGCAACTGGGGTTTCCCTGCCTCTGCTATGGGCCCTTCAGTCCAGTAGCATCTTTGAACTGCTCAGTTAAAATCTTCAGAGCTTCCAGACCCAGATTCATCTGACTGTCCCTTAACCCCAGAGGAATGGTGGACTCAAATAGTATAAAAGTATACTCAGTAAGAGGAACAAATGAAAACAACAGTTTCCAGTACAGAATTAGACTATAAATTGCTCTTGTGTTTTTTCAAAAACAGTGATATCTCATTAATTCAATGTAATTATGAGTACAAATGTAAAATCCTGATTTATAAATATTTTATTCTTAATATTTTCAAGCTCTCATTAACTCAAGCTAAGATAGAGTTGTAGGCCTTATTGGGTCGTGTTTTAGTAAATAATAGTGTGTAATTGACAGAGGATGATTATTGGCACAGTAACAAATTAGAATTTGGACACTAAAACTCCTCCCCTGTATGCCAATCATTCTCTTGATAGGACCATTAGTGACAATTATCTTAGTTTGCATACATAGGGAAGGTATTTTTATCAGTTAAATATTTTGTACCAGCTTACCAATGAGTGTGCTGCAGTACATCTGTCTTTGGAATATAACTGATATGATCAATGAAGAGTAATATACTATTTTTAAACATGACAGCACATTTAGGTTAATACAGTGGCAGTTGTATGCATTTTCTGGAATGCTCGGGCTCCCAGATTGCTAATGTATGTCCAAGTAGATACACAGATACTGTAATTAATAATACAGCTTAATTGCTATAGTCAGATTGGGCAGCACATCATTTATAGCAATTCTGAAACTGGGAACAGAAGAATGATAAGCAGTATGATAAAGACTTACTAAAATTGTTAGTCAGTAAAAGTACAAACTAAACATTGTTGACTAGCAAGCCATTCTTATAAAATACATATGACAAAATTCTCTTGGTACCTGTTTTCAAAGTATACATTTCTATATCATTGTGATTCCTCTTTTGAAATTTACTTATAAAGCCATCTTTAAAGAAGCAGGCTTTATTTCCTAAATTTATATTTAATTAACAGTTTTTCTAGTTACCTACTATGTATCAGGTACTTTCATTTAGTATCTTCCAGTGACCCAGTAAATTAGGAGTTCTTTGTTCATTTTAGAAATTAGGAAATAGAAACTCTGAACAGTTTAGAAATTTATCTACATAATGATATAACATAAATGTTGGTTGCCTAATACTTGGATAGAAGCTCTGGTAGCATAGTGCCTAAGGCACTTGCCTGCTAACCAGAAGGCTGGAGGTTCAAACCCACCAGCCACTCCTCGGAAGGAAGATGGGGCAATCTATTTCCATAGTGATA